CTTTCCCAGGAAATACAGCTGAAACTGCATGAGGAAATCATGCAACTCATGTGGATTCTGAAGGAAAAATAGATCATGGGGAAAGACGTAGAACAGACTAGTTAACTAAAGTACTTGTAAGCCTATTAATCTCAATTATTCTGAATAAAATAATTTTGGAGTTATTCTAGAAAGGACCTAATAGGGTTTTTCCTGCCCTTGTGTCTTAAGATGTGTCATAATTTTTTAGAGAGAATTAGAATTGAGAAGACAAGCAGTCAGGGGTCTAGTGCCTCTTAAGAGCATCTTTTCCCTGTGACACACCTAGTGGTAGCTTTTTCAGTTCCTATGGGTTGGGTTTTCTGTCTTCAGTCACCTTCTTGCTTGCTGTTTAGTGTTACACATCAGCCTGGCCTCCAGTCATTGAGACTTCTTCTGTGGGAGTAGAGATGACCACAAACGGTATATTTCACAGTTATTTTTAAATTATGGAATGGATATTCATACTTCCTTGGTGTACCTCTTTCCTATAACTTTCCCTGGAAAGTTGAGGATTGTCTTACACAAGGGCTCCAGTTACGCTCTCTGAGTGTCTCATTGTTGCATGTCAGTCAGTAATCCTTAAACAGGTGGCTTGTAAGACTTGTATGAGCAGGCTGCAAAAGCATCAATGACCTGTGATGCAGTAAAATCTGCTGTAAAGAAGCTGTTAATTCATGTCCTTTAGCTTGTTTTGGACTTAATGTGTTAGCTTGTCTATCAAAGTGGTGTTCATGTAGATCTCCTTTCCTAAATTTTGTCTAAACAACTCATGCATTGTTAGACTCCCAACACCTGGAAGGCTGAATGAGACTATGAGAATAATAGTGTAATTGGAAATGTATATTCATGAAAAATATTTCTGAATAACATTTGAGTAGCTGTAGTTAACTTCTTAAGTGTGATGTTGGGTGCTTACATCAAGACCTGAACCTGATTTTCCTTTTTGACAAGAGGGAGCAAACTACCCCCTAAGTATTTTCAAATATTTTCTTTTAACAGATAATATGTATAGTACATTAACCATTCTCCATATGTATCTTAGAGAATCTCCTTGGAGTATCTGAAGTCCATATGGCTATGTATGATGAAGATATCTTGAAAAATCCCTTTTATTTGGCCATTCAGAAGCGGCGTCCTGATCTATGTAGCAAAGTTGCTGAGCTCCATGGTATTGTAAGTATAAATAAGTATGTTTAGCACCTGCTTATTAAACAGTAGCCATATGTTTTAATTGTATGCCTGTTGTGACACGTGTAAAGATTAGTGCAAGCCTATGACAAGTGGAAGTGAACTTGAGCAACTTTTAGTTTCAATTGCTTGTTATTTGCTGATATGGACTTGATTTTCTTTGCTATGAACTAAAGCTACAAATTCTCCCACATGTAACATAAAATGGTATTGACTTTTGAAATCACTCTGGGCAGTCAGTCACTTCTGACAGCATTTTACATAGTATAATAATGGCATTACACTGAGCTGGAATAAAAACTTGACTCTGTAAGACTTCTAATCTGGGTATTCTGCAATTAGTCTTAATCTGAAAGTGTGATTGATCTAAAGCTTGATCTAACTTGTTTTAGGTGTTAGTTCCATGCAAAGGAAGCCTTTCAAGCAACAATCTTTCTACCTGCCAGTTTGAATCTTATGTTCTGAAGCCACTAGAAGAAAATTTTCAGACCTTAAATGGAAAGGTATTTCTGTTTTGTGATTTGAATGTAGCCTGGGGATACTTAAACAAATGATTCACTATGGTTGAGTGATAGTGTGAGCTAGTGGTTATGGGAGAGTGAGCTAGGAGCTAGCTCTAACTTGCACAGGTAGTATGTTGCCCACCTAAGCCAAAACTCTCAGTGATACTGCTTTCCAGCAAAAGCTGTATTTGATGTATACACAAGAATAGTTGTTCTGTTTAGATGTTAACACTGCCTTACTACTTTGGCTTAGAAACTTAGTCAATTTTTCTGTATTTTGTGGCTGTTCAGAATTTTGGTCTGTTTTTTGTTTGTTTCAGGAGATCTTCATACAAGGAAATCTCATCATTTTAGGAAATGGTTTTAATTATCATCTGTCAGTACCTGTCCTTTTTGAGGAAACATTTTACAATGAAAAAGAGGAAAGCTTTAGTATATTGTGCATAGCTCATCCTTTGGAAAAAACGGACAGCTCAAGTATGTATTGAAGTGTTATCTGGGTGGTCTTGTTTGCACAGTGAACAAATCAGTATGTTTGTGCTTGGTACATTTCCTTTGTTCTGAAAAGTGTTGGCTTGGTTGAAAGCTCTTGGCATTTTTTAGTCTGCTGGGGCAGATGTTGGTATATTGCTGGAGAGAAATATTAAATTGCTGCCAGGCAAACCTCATTCTGTAGGGGCCATGCCCCAGTCTCGGCACTAAAAATCATCTGTGGAATATTTGATTTGGCATGGTTTTTCTAAGCAATGCTCAGTTAAGTGCTGACTGATTAAAAAAGGATTTAGTCAAGACAAGGTGGATGCACAGAAAACTGGAGAGGTAAATTCTGTTATTACATCAGTGATTAGAGGCTGTATAGCGTAGTATGGAGCAGCTCTTCTAGTTGTGGTCTTATCTCACTAAGTTAAATGTAATGATTTTTATTCTTGTACTGAAAGTGCTCTTGGTAAGACTGGAACAATTATTTCCAAGGCCACTATGAAAACTGTGAATGTAGCAGGATTTCCTCTTGAATTTGTATAACAATCTGTGTTTACTAATGAAAAGGAACAGAAGCTTCTTAAAACAAGCTTTTTCTGAAATAAAAGCATTTAGTCTTCCTAAATATATAAAAATACCTTTTGAAGCAAATGATGACAAACGAATATTAGGGTAGTCTGAAAATAGCACTGAAGGAGGTATGGAAGTTTTTCTGAAAAAAAAAAAAGCTAGCATACATGCAGGCTTAAATGCTGTAAATAGTAATTGAAATCTAAAAAAATATTCTTGTGGCATTTGTTTTTTTGGCTGTTATTTAATGTAGTTTTATAGCAGCCTTTCAGAAGTGAGGTAATTTGTAATTTCAAAAGTAATTTGAAATGAACGAGATCTAAGCCTATTATTAGTTAGCTGTCTTTGGCTGCAAATTAAAGACTTTCCTGGGAAAGGTTTTAGAAAAGCAGTATGAATTTGGAGTGAGGGATCCAATTGTCATCTTTGGAAGTGGATTTGGTTTAATGTTTACGTGAAGCAACTTTGCTCTCCCATTCAGAGGAGCATGTCTAAATAAAGATTGGGTTATGTAAAAATCCAAGATGGGATTTTTACAGCTCACTTAGAGCACACCAACTTCCTGCGTGGGCATTCTGTCAATACTATAATGTGCTTCTACTTTCAAGCTTGACGTACACTCAGAATGAGTTGTGTATGTGGCAATAAATTAACCTAGAGTAAAAAAGCTTATGAAATCAGTTTTAGCTATTCCAAATAAATACTTTACAAAAAAGGCAGTACAGCCTACTCTAAATGTGATGCATCCAATTCTTTAATTTAAAACAAATACCATCAATTAAAGGTATAGTAAGTTGAATTAATCCATCATTGCTCACAAGTTGACTGTGGTAGGGCCAAAGTACCATGCATACCTATTAAACCTATGTGTTAATTGTTGCCTTTCATTTTAGGTGAATCTACAGCTTCATCAAGCTCCTATTCTCTTAAAAATATTGAAGATGTTAGAGAACTCTTGGGAAGGCACTGCGAGAGATTTGATAAATACATAAGCTCTTTCTACAGAACATGTAAAGAACATGAAAGGAAAAGTCTTCGCCACTACATAGTCAGTATTTTGCCTCTTGATGTTTAAGTATAATTCACTTCACTGCTTTGGATATCATTGTTTTACTGAGCTTTTCTATATCAGAATAGGCCAGAGTTAAGGAACGTGGGAAGGGAGAAAGAAGAATTCTTAATTGTGAATTACCACATTTTAATTATTAGGTAAAGGTAATTTTTTTAGCTAAAAAAATTAGTGTACACTTTGAGGGTGGGGAAGGTTCTGGAAGCTCCATCCCTGGAAGACCAGGTTGGATGGGGCTCTGAGCAACCTGATCTAATGGGAGGGGGATTGGAGCTAGATGATCTCTAGGGTCTTCCAACTCAGACTATTCTTTGAAGACCTTCATTTCTAATTTGTACTTTGTAGCTTCAAGTCAGATTAACCTGAATCTGAATGCTTTCTTCTTTTCTTCCTTGCCAGGATTCTGTCAATGCACTTTATACCAAATGTCTCCAGCATCTTTTGAGAGATTCGCACTTGGTAAACACTTACTCCACTGAATACATAGTATGTAGTATTGCTTAAGCAGTAAGTTAATTAACTTTCTCTTGCTATTTGTATGGCCTTCCTTTTCTAGAAGGTGCTTGCAAAGCAGGAAGAACAGATGAATCTGATTAAACAAGCAGTTGAAGTAAGCATTTCAAATTAATGAAGATAATTAGTAAGCTATTTTTTACTCTTTTATGCCTAAAGTGCTTTTTTTTTTTCTGCAGATGTATATCCACCATGCTATTTATGATCTAGTCTTTAAGTATGTGGGGACTATTGAGGCAAGTGAGGTAAGTTTGTCTGATTTGGTAAAAATTAGCTACATTAATCTAATGCATTTAAAAAACCTATTCCCTTTGTGTTGATTAGGATGCTGCTTTCAACAAAATCACAAGAAGCCTTCAAGACCTGCAGCAAAAAGACATGGGAGTGAAGCCTGAGTTCAGGTGAGGGAAGTGATTCTGGACACTCTGAGTCACAGGTTTTGTCTTAAATAGTTCTCAAGCCAGCCAAAAATTGTCTTCCTTCAGACAACAGCAAGTTTTTCTTATACCTCATTCCTTTGAAATAGAGAAATAAAGCTTTGCAAGTGTCATTTTAGGGCAGTCTTTGCATTGATTGTTATCTCCTTTGCTTTTATAGTCTTAAGTTACTGTCTCCATCTACAGGGTACAGAAAAGCAGGTGTATGTGGAGTAGAGATGGAAATACTTTAGTGCTATTCTTCATTTCAGCTCTCAATAAGTGAGAACTTGGGGCTTGGACATCCTGTGCAGGAAGTCGATGTGCTAACAGTTTCTTTCCAATTACTTTGTAGTTTTAATATACCACGTGCAAAGAGAGAACTGGGTCAGTTGAACAAATGTACTTCCCCTCAACAGAAGCTACTTTGTCTACGAAAAGTGGTACAAATTATTATGCAATCTCCTAGCCAAAGAGGTCAGTAATTAATTAATTAATAACTTCTACTTTTTTCTTAACCAGCACTTGGTATATTAACAGCTGTTTGATTAGCACTTGTGGATTAAACACAATTAGATTGGGGTCTGCTTTGCAGATCTCTAAACGAAGTGAAATGGAGAAAGACATTTCTCAGCATTGTTTCTTGTGGGGTGAGGTGAGGTAATTGGTTAGCCTATATGGTTTTGCTAGGGCATGTGAGAAACTTGCATGTGCTAGGACAATTTCACATGCAGAAGAGTTGAGGATGATCAGTTTTAAACACTGAGGATTGCTGCCAGATAATTTTTATCTGTCCATGGTCCTTGATAATCTAACATCTTTTGCAAAATGCAGTGTTGGGGTAACGGGGAACAAACAAACCTTCTGTATCCTGCATTCAGAGTGCTGCTCTGGATTACAGAAACGATTCTGAGATAGCAAAGCATGGACCTCCTAACCTAGTATTTATTTTATCTAGCCTGGAGAGAAAAGATACCTCTAGTAAGCAAATAGAGTAGTATAGTCAACTCAGGCTTTCCATACTTCATCTCTTCCTTTCCTCAGGAGGACTCCTGGGTTACAGAGAAGTTGTATCAATTTTGAGGGTAGCTTTTGCCCTCAATAACTTCAAATCTTGAGCTAATACTTTGGCTCTTTCTGTATAGGCCAGGAGGGGATGCTAGACAAATATTGCAGTTTGTACAGTGCAAACTGTTTTTTATGTTTTGGCTCTTGACAGCCTGTTTTAGAGGGAGATGGAGAGCATTTGAAAAGCTGCCTTGGTTACTCAGTGCATTCTCTACTGGTAGGGCTGTCCCTTAGTCTTAGAAGGTGATTTAGGTTATGGTTGGACTTGATGATCTTCAAGGTCCCTTCCAACCAGGATGATTCTATGAACTCTGTTTTTAAATACTGCTCTTGATATGAACCATGACATGACTAACATTAGATGTAAATTCTTTTTTAGTTAACATGGAAACCATGTGTGCAGATGATCTGCTCTCTGTTTTGCTGTATTTACTTGTAAAGACAGAAATACCAAACTGGTATGTAACAATATTTTGAGTATACAGAGCTCAGTTGTATCACCTTACATGCAGTGCTGCAGTGGGGGCAAATTGTCTCTGAACATGTAGTAATAACTTACTGAAAACATAAGAGAGGCTGATGTAATGCAGAAAACTATTTATAGTAGGATGAACAGCAAAGATGTATTATAGGAGTAGCCAAGTTAAGGACCTACCAGGAATTCAAGTGCTGTGTCTTTGTTTTGATTCCCAGCCTGGAAAACTGTAATGGGAGGCCATCTCTCTACCAAATCTGCTTGCCAATACACACTTCAGTTCAGACTGGTACTTCCTCATGTGTGTTTAGAGCTGTGAAACCTTTGTACACCTTTATACAGGTGTTTGATATGTGTCATATAGAGAAACTGGATTTGAATGCTTAATTGCTTGCTGGTAGCCATTCATTGTGTTTCTCTCTCCTTACTACCATTAAAAATGTATCCAAACCTTCTGCCTGTACCTGAGCTGAATTTTAGTGGTGGTGTATCCCATATCTGGTATTAGCATTTTTCCTTTAATTTGTAGCTATCACTTTACACTGGTGCTTATGGTGCTTGAAACATTAACATTTGAAGCTTGTGAAACAGGATTTCACTGCTGTCCTTATCCTGTCCTTCATATTACTTATACTCAGTTAATAACTTTTCATTGAATAGTTAAGTAGATTTCCCATCCATCTGCAAAACTTAGAACAGCCATAGTATTTCAAGCCTACCAGTCTTTCTTTTTCTTAATACACACCTATTGTCTCCCTGGGTTGTCTGAGATAGGTTTCAGTATTAGGCTATGTTATGCTGGTGTCATCTCATTTTTGGTGGTTCACAGCTTTAACTTCTTATTTCAGGATGGCCAACTTGAGTTACATAAAGAACTTCAGGCTTTGCAGTTCAGTGAAGGATGAACTGGGATACTGTCTAACCTCGATTGAGGCTGCGATAGAATACATACGGCAAGGCAACCTCTCTGACAGATCAACAGTAAGCTACTCTTAGTGTGTTTATAAGCTTGTAGGACTGCACCACTGGAAGGAAATCCAGTCAGAGGATAAAAACAGCTAAGAGAGCCTTTTTTTTGCACTCGAAGAGATATACCTGAAAAAAATGCAAAAATTATCTAAATGATAACAATGAAGTCCTAATCCTGTAGCAATACTTGATGTTTATTATGTGCTCCTTGAAATAGTTATGTCAAGTCTGCCTCTTTGTATGATGAGAGGAAAGATGATAGCACTTTTCAACAGCTGAGTCTTCAGTGAGTTTATCTTCTGTTTGTACTCATTCCATTATGGCTGTGAAAGCAATGCAGTACTTCAGAGTAGGCATAGCTTAAATAGATTTTTCTTCAGTAATTTAGAAAAGCTTAGCTCTGCTGGCAGAATGGAGATTGCAGTGTAACTTAGAATTATTCAGTAAATCTTCCTGCTCTAAAAGTTCACTGTTTGTAATGCAGATTACTGTGTTGCACCAAGTTGATGGTTTAAATGATAAGGTGGTATTTTGAAGGTCAAATTTGGCTCTTAGGATCTCTCTCCTACCTGGGGCATCAAGCTGCTGGATGGATGAGTTATTGCCTAATAGTCAATTAGACCATCTGTCAATTAGGTCAAATCTCTGCAGGCAAATCGAGGTTGATGTTGATATGACTTTAGAAACTTAAATGATTTAAGAACTGCATAACTTATTTAGCAAAGGAATCCAGACTTGCCATTCCTGTAAAACTTCCTACTGTTGTAAAAATAGGTTTTCCTGGTCTGATGTGGAAATCAAAAGTAGTGACCTTGGAACCAGAATGAATTAACTGTGTCAGTCTGCCCAGCTGCAAAGTACTGGAATCTAATTGCAGGAGTCAAAATCATGGCTCAGTGTGCAGAGCTTGGGATGGGATAACCTGGGGCACAATTTTAAAAGAATCAGCACTTAAAGTAACATTTTATCCTTTTGTTGTTTTTGGTTCTTTTCTGTAATCTTTCCATGTACCTGTCATGCAGATGTTTGGTTTGTATACTCCAAAAAAAAGCACTCTGTGTAAAGAGACTGGTATTTGTCTGTAATGCTGTACTGAATTATGTTAAAAAAAACTCAACACCAAACAAACAAGAAAACCAAATAAAAATGTTAGTTTAAAAGGTAAATAAGTCCTGCAGTCACTTGGCTGTCATTAACAATCACTATGCAAATAGCAATGCTGGTGGTCTGGATGGAGAACTGGAACCCAAGTAGAGTTGTCTTCCACACCACTCTGAGCAAGCTGAAAAGAATAATACACTTCAATTTCTAGAATGAAAACTGTTCCCTAATAAAATGCCTGGTCCTACCCCCACCACTGCTCTCCTTATGTAGCTAATGATGGGACTGCCATCAAGTGATTATAGTGTCATTAAGATGCTCTATGTTTATTCTGGAAACTACACACTTGAGAAGGCTAAGGGCAGTCTCTTACTGCTTATGTTAGTGTCTGAACCAGTATAAGAGCAAGCAGTAAATGTTTCTGTCCATACCTCAGCTGGATCAGCTCCAGTTCTAGATTGCTGGAGTAGCCTCAAACTCCTCACTTCAGTGTGTGTACAGTGGGTGTGCAACAGGAACTCCTTTTCTTTGTTGCCTTTCGTGAGAGACAATGTGTCTGGAAGGCAGCACTGAGCTGGAAAACAGCAGAACCTAGAAGACAAGGAGGTGGGTGACCCCCTGGCCTCTATCTAGCACAGCTGAAAAGGAAAAAGCTAAACTACTCTTCCCTAGTGTAGGGCAAGGGAGAAGGCAGCACATAAAGAAGAGTAAGAAACCAGGTACCAACTACCATCTTGACAGGAATTGAAAAAGGGTGATGAGGAGGTGGAGGAACATACTAGCATTGCTCTGCCTTATCAGTTGAGATTTCTTTATTTCTCTGGTAAAGGAACTTTGCTGTTTAGAGCAGCAGCTACCACATTAATGCCCCATTGTTTGCTTTTCCAGATTGTGCTGGAATGAGTTGTGGGATTTAAGTGAGCAGGAACCTTGCTGTGCCCTGGGGCTTCATTACAGCTCCTCATGAGGCCACACTTAATTTTATAGCTGGTTTCAGATGGAGCTTCTGGCAGCTGAGTAGTGCTGTTGTCCAATCCCTAATCAAGCAACTGCATAAAGAAAATTAGGTAGGGAACTAATGTACCCTGTGGGATACTGGGCATATTATCACTCTCATGTAAGTAAGAAGATTGCATTTAGGAGGCATCTGCCAAATTCCTTCACCCAAGGTCACACAAGTCCTGGAGAGAGATTTTGGTTGTGGAGAGGAGAGAAACATGTAACTGACAGACTGAAAGATGATGACTTCCAGAAAATGAGATGTAACATTAGAGTTCCAACTAATAAGAATTGTATGTTAGTTACGTTCCTATGCAGACCTAATGTCTAGTAAGATGCTTGAGTTCAGAGAGTTGAAGTAATGTCTATTAACTAATGTTAGAGCTACCAGCCACTAGGGAATAGGTGACATGGTTCCTGTATGAAAACACTGTAGGTGTTTGGCATAGGCACATAGGAAGTTGGCATGCAGACTTCCTCCAGATGGGACCAGACAGGAAAGCAAGACTTGGACACAAGCTGAGGCTAATAAAATTTTTATGGGCAAAGAGGGAACGGAGAAAATTTCCCCAGTCATCAGTTGTAATCTGTGAAAGTAACATTGGAAAGGTGGTTGTGCAGGTACTCCTGGAGTGCAAGTAAAGCTGGTACAAGTAAGTTTTGACTTTGAAGGCCCAAACTTCCTTAATACTTTAACCACTACCTGATTGTTCTGCCAGTCTCTATTTCACTTCTGAAGATATGTAGGAATAATTTTTATTTTATATAATAATACCTCTACAAAAAGATTGCTGTCTCAAGTAACTCTTTCAAATAATTATTCCACTTGAGAAACACTTTTCTTGTAAAATACACTGTAGAAGGAACAGTATTGAAACTACAGCAGGTCTTGGTAGTGGTTACATGGATTCTCCACAGTGAAAGTGTAAAGCTGTCTGTGAGCATTCACATTAGAAATTCTGATTAGACTTCAACAACCTGTATCAACAGTAAAGCTTTAACATTTTTTTTTCTAGTTAATAAAACCTTTGATCGAATATGGCTTTGGGCACTTATTCCTGATCACACTGAAGAATCTGTCCAAGGAGACTAATGTTACATGCCTTGTAATTCTGAAAAGATATACTTGGGTAACTTTAGCTAGAGTACCTAGGTTTGAAAAGATTGGGAATATTTGTCATCTTCATGATCCAAATACAAAAAACTCACTGAAGTACAAATACGAACTTTTATCTCTAGACCTCACAAATGTTATTAAGTACATTGTTTGCTGTGCACTGCAGGATTTTTATTAGTTTTGAGAGTCATCAATGTTAATTTTGAAAAGGGATAAATCTGAGCTTTTAATTTTTGGTCAACCTTGTTTGTTTGCACTTCTAGTTTCTTAAACTTCATTCTGGCTTAATAATGTTGAGAGCCTGTAAATAAGTATATAGATAATCCACCTGTGTATTTCATTTTTAGGAATCTGAAAGACTGTGTGACAAGCTGCTTTTAAGACAAAGGATGAACTTGTTGTCCCAAATGTCTGCTACTCCAATAGACTGCTTATTTAAGGTTAATATATTTCATGTCAGAAGCTGTATGTACTTACCTATTGCACATTTATATTATTTTCCTATCTGTGATTTTCTAAAATGTAATATTCACATTAATACAGTGAAATGTGTTTCAGTAGATGCTAAAAAGGTGGTTTGAATCTCATGCATTTCTATGCCAAAATGTTACCAAATTTTACCATATGTTACCATAATAGCCTTATGGATTTCAGCACCTTATAAGAAATGTGGAAGCAAGTGGGGATGAAATGCTACTGCTGTTGATATTGATTGGTCCATTTAATACACAGATCTGATATTACTATCTGGTTGTCTCTCACAGCTTTTAGCGCTTGAAGTTGGAAGAGTTTTCTGAATAATTTAAATGTGGTCACCTGACAGCTCCTGCATGTTACATGCTAATTTCATATTGTGATTCTAAAAGAACTTTGCCTATACAAGGACACAAAGCAGAGCTTCTAATTATATGTGTTCACAGCTTGTGGCTAGAGAAGTAGTAATTTTGAAGAAATGTTTTTGCATAGAGGGAGCTCAATTTTGTGACCGAGTCTAAAGAGAACAATAGGAATTGTTTTAATTTTTTATAGAAAGGGAGGTAAGCCAAGAACAGATTCTTTTGAATACTGAATGCCAATTAGGGGGTTTTGTGCTATCACATTGTTCTTTTCTGCTTTCTGGTGCTCGAATACATATCTTTTATAATCTGCCCCTTTCATTTTGTGTTTCAGTACATTATTCTGAGTTTTTTTGGGGCTTGTTTTGTTTTTTTCCTAAAGAGGAGGCATTTTATATTGGTTCCTCATTCTCTTTCTCTTCTTGGTTTTTTGTAGCATATTGCTTCAGGTAACCAGGAGGAAGTAGAGCGATTATTAAGTCAAGGTGACAGTGATAAGGACACTGTACAGAAAATGTGTCATCCACTCTGTTACTGTGACAGATGTGAAAAGTTGGTTTCTGGGTAAGCACTTTCAATCTCCATTAATACACAAAAACCCCTATATAAAAGTCTTCATGTAAGATTTACTTCAGAAAGTTTGCTGCTTTTGGTTATAGTGGAAGTTGATAACAGGGATGTAATAGATTGTGTTGGTGTGGTTTGAAAAAAAGCGTAAGAAATACTAGACTACTGAATGTCTTGAAACAAGCTATTTTTGTGATGAAGGCTGTATGTGCTTTGCTAAACATGGTGTGAAAGCTTTCTTTTCTTGAACCTAGCATTCATGTCTTGGACAAAATCACATCTCTTTAATGAAGTGGAAAACTCTTGATAGAGTAATTTGTCAGTGTGAAAGGATAAAGGATAAAAAGTTCCAAAATCAGCTTTTTGTTGGCCTTGGCCATTTTCTCTTTTCCTTACCACTGCTGGGTAGGTAACTGAGCTGCTCTTACACCATTGTGTTTTAAAGGAAACTGAATGATCCTTCCATTATCACTCCATTTTCCCGAGATGACCGGGGATATACACCACTTCATATAGCTGCTATTTGTGGTGGGTATTGTTGGATATCTTCACTACTGTTTTCAGTTCCTTATGTTCCTTACCTTTATGTTAGCATATTTTCTAGCTTTGTGTTAAAGAGCAAGTTTTGCATTAAATTGTTTTCTGCTCACTTGAAAACTGACGTCTTGGCACAGGCTGAAGTTGTTACATATTCTTTCAAGCTCAGCTTCTTATGGCTAAGTTATTGTTTGTTTGCTGGCAGTTTACTTTTGTCTTAGTGGTTTCTACAGTAGGTCTTTTTTCAGCTGTTAAAAAAGTAAAAATGTGTTACAGAAATCAGTCTTGTGGCGGATGGAGGAATTAATTAGTTCTCTCTCCTGCAGCTGGTTATGCTTGTTAGATCTGTATAATCTCCTGTCTTGTAATGTCCATTATTGATCTGACATTTATTAGAATATGTATTTGTTTTCTTAGTAGGTTTTTGAAAAATAGAAATAATTTCCTTTTTAAATTATTATCTTGAATCCCAATAGGAGAGTGTTTTGTGTGACATGGCCTTATTTTCTGTTCTTTTCTTACTCACAAGATACAAGCATAGCTTGCTTTTAGCTGGGGGTTCTTTTATGGAGCTTTGATCTTGAGTAATTGCAACAAAAAAACCACCAAGGAAGTGAATATAGAGTGTATGCAAACTTAGTATGTAGAAATGCAGGGTATCTTTGTTTATAGGTTATGTTTGAATTTGAAAAGTAGCAATGTTCTTGTACAAAAGTTTATTTCCTCTAATGTCTGTACATTTTTCTAGGGCAAACATCATTAGTGGATTTACTAGTAGCTAAAGGAGCTATTGTCAATGCTACAGATTATCATGGTTCAACTCCACTTCACCTTGCCTGTCAGAAGGGATATCAAAGTGTTACAGTAAGTGCCAAAAGGCTTAAATAGAAATAAAAATACCTAACTTAAATAATAAGTATATGACTTTCACTAAGCTGTTCTACTGTTACTGTTATTTAGGTCTGAGAAGCTTTTATCAGAACTGTGAACACTGTTAGAATTGAAGATCTTTTGTCATTGTAGTTTGCATATTTTGGTTTTTTACTATACTGCAAAGCTTTCAGCTGTTTGTAATAACCTGGCAATTGACAGCTATGCATTCCTGATGATTAATCCATTTTATTAATACAAATCTCTAATACATAGTACAAATGGACAGCCTGTTAACATCTCTGCTCTTGGTTAATACAGAAGAGCTATTGCAGACATTGGAATGAATGAAATTATTTCACATGTGTTTAGGATAGACTGTGTAACTACATTCATTATTGTGTACTTCAATTTTATATATGTGAGATTTTCCAAATAGCATTGTTGAAATGAAGCTTTGTTTTTACTTGCATAGGCTCTTAAAATACAGGAGAAATTGCTATGTAGTATATGAATTGCAGTGTTTGCTGCAGATGATTAAGTTTTTCAATGACAACTTGGAATATGTGAGAAGCAGCTTTTATTTGGTTCTTGGGGCAGGAAAAACAGTACTGTAATGGCAAGAGGTTGGTGTCTGAAACAGGAGAGAGTAGTGTCTGAAACAGGAGAGAAACAGCCCATTTTTCATGAAGTGCTTCATTGTGCTAAAACCTAAAGGAATCTACCAAGTAACAACTGCTCATGAATTTTTTGTAGTAACTCTGATGTCTACTTTTATGTTTCTTTAAAGCTTCTCTTATTGCACTATAAGGCAAGTGCTGATGTTCAGGACAATAATGGAAACACTCCACTTCATTTGGCCTGCACTTATGGTCATGAGGATGTAAGTAATTGTTTTGCAACAAACTAAATGGACATTCTAATGGAATGGAATTAAGCTGTGAGGGAAATTTGCATTGAATTTACCTGTTTTAAAAAGTAAATGAAAAAAATTGAAGGCTATTTAACACTGTAAATTAAGAATATATTGAGTAGTTCATAGCAGTTTTTATTATGCATTTACATTAAAGAGAGTAGTATTGTGCAAATTTAGTTGAGTTATTTAACTCTTTGTTTAATTACACTAAACCATAAAACTCTGCCCTTAATGCAATGGATTATATAAGTAGCAATAAAAAAAACTTTTTTAGGTTTGCACATGATATGAATTGAGGGACTTATGCTATAATTTATTGATAGCTTTCCTTTTCTTTGCAGTGTGTCAAAGCCTTAGTTTACTATGATGTACATTCCTGTAGACTAGATATTGGTAATGAAAAGGGAGATACTCCTCTCCATATAGCTGCTCGTTGGGGCTATCAAGGGATCATAGAAGTGCTTTTGCAAAATGGGGCAAATCCAGAAACTCAAAACCGGATGAAAGAGACTTCCCTACAGTGTGCATTAAATTCCAAGGTACTTCTCTTTGTATTCTAGTCTGATTTATTTCTGGTGCAATTCCATGGAGGCGTAGGTGCTTACCAGCTAATAGGATTTTGTGGTCTGGTACTACTAAAGAGAAAATGTATAATTAACTTTAAGGAAGAAGGGTCACATTTTAATTCTAATTGAATGTAAATCTAAATTGAATACTGTCTGTGGTATAGAACATAAACTTGTAAATGGATACTTTTAATCTGCTCAGTCATAATCTGTTGCTAGGTTAGGTTGTCAGCTGATTTGTGTATCAGTCAATAGATTCTTCTTTAAGTGAAGATACATTGGTTCTCTTTGTTAATATTTTTATGCAGATTTTGTCATTGATGGAATTAAACTATCTAACATTTGAAAGAGGACAGAGTGCTTCTGAGGTAACAATTAATGCAAGTTGCTAAACTTTTTTTTTGCCTATGTTTAACCTGCTTATTCTGATATGTAACATTTTCTGGTTGGTTTGTTTGTTTTACCAACTTTAAGTCACCACTTAGGTCTCCTCAGCATTCAGCAGAAACTTTCAGCAGAGGATCATCTGTCTCAAGCTTGTCATCAGCATCAACTGATATAAGGCAAGAAGAAGTAAAAAATAGTTATAAAGAGGTAAGACTGAGGTCCAAGCTTTGACAAATAAGCAAAGTGAAGGAAGGTAGAAGAGTGGTATTTTGCAACACTGTTTTAAACTAGTGCTTCAAGAGTAGCCTTCTGTCTGGTTTGGAAAATTTCATGCTGCTCTCCTCAGGTGCTTGTCCTCTCAGTATCTAAACATTTTTTTTTGTGTGGTATCAGCTGTTTTACTGGTTATTTATGGGGAAAAATGGGAAGATATATTTGGAGTACTTTTTCAGATTTACTGCAGTTAACTACATAGTTTGAGAACTTTTTGAGGTTTACAAAATTGTACTGGGAGTCATTTCCCCAGGGAACTTGCTCTGCTGTCCCGGAATTAAATGCCGTTGTTAGCTTAAAAAAATCTGGCAGGTAAAAGAGACTAGTAGAGGAATACTGGCAAGCAGCAATCTAGAATGCTAAGACAAGCTTTCAAAACAGGCAAAAAAATATTAATTTTGTAGCATGTGAAGAAGGACATACTATGTATGTAGTATTTACTTTGCACACGTGTGCTAACTGGTTTTCCTCTGATGCATCATTTTCCAAGATGCTGTCCTCTGAACTTTTTCATGTGGGACCTCAGATCAATACTTCCCATTTATCCCCTCCTATGACTGTCATATCACCACTCCTTCTGATGCTTCTCTCTGTTTTTTCCCAGTTCTCCTGTTTAATTTTTTTTTTTCCAGATTGACCCCCTTAGTATTTTTACTTCTCTCCATATCACCTTTACATTCAAATTTTTCCTTTTCCTGCTCTTAAAAGGTTTTTCTCTTGCCAAAAACTTCTCTCTTCTAAAAAAGTGAAGTTTGCCTGGACAATATTACTTCACACTTCTTTATGAGTTATTCTGTGAGAGCCTCAGTGTAGAGTACAGAGTCAGGCACTCCAGATAAGGTCTAATGGATGTAAAAGTTTACCTCATAGATTGAGGATATATTTTTGGTTAAAGGAGCAAATTTATCACACCCAAAAGCTAAGACTGTAGTTCAAACCAGGGAAGAAGATTAGGAGCAGCTTACACCTTAGATTGTTGGGGTTAATGACCTTCTCCTGTAATCCAGCTTGAGTTCATTTGTATCTGCCAAGTTTCACATGGGTTTACTGTGCTTATTTGTACTAAGCAAAGAGGCAAGGACCTAATCCTGAGGGATGTCCGTGAGGGGAATGCCACTGGATGTAATGGGAAGCTGATAAGGTCAGTTTTCCAGCCTTCAGGGCTTAGACTGTGGATTAAGAGGATGCAGTTAGATATTTATTAATCAATACTGTTGGTGAATTAATCTTTTAGCTTAAATGAGCCAGTCATGGTGTATATCTTGTATGTGGCTTGTTTATAGCTTAGAAAAGAGAGTAAAAGAGCCAAGCATGTAAATCTGGAACTTGTTTGAACTAGTAATCCCTTGCACAATTTCTGTTCAGCAACAGAAAAATGGAGCATATGAGTGAGTTGACTTTGTTTCATCTATTTTTACATTTAAAGGAAAACACTTCTGTTTCACAGAGGAGTGAGAAAACAAGCTGGAGAGCTGGGTAAATGCATTTAGCAGACATTTTGCCCTAAGTATTCTTAATAAATTATCTATAAGCTGCATAACGGGTGTTACATGCTTCTTAACTGCTAGGGCCTGAGGCAGTTCTTAAAACTGTAAGGAAGTTATTTTTAGAAAGAAATTATCAGAGCTTGTGAGTCTTCTATTACTGTTAGGCATCTTGTATGTGATAAGACTTGCTCCTGAAGATAATCAAGACCTTTACATTCTCAGTGACATAATCCTATTTGATTAGGGGAAATTTGAGAGGTACAGATCTCCCTAGTATACATGAAGTACATTTTAGATGTATATGTGTAGAGATTGGAATCTTCTCACCTAACTTTAGATGTCTGAAAAACAATTGTCTTAAGACTTCTATTTTCCCTCCTTAGTCAGTGGATAGAAGTTGGTGTCTTCAGAGAGGAATTAATCTCAAACATGCTTAGCTTGACCCGAGTTTTACTCGAGTGTCATTCGTTGTTCTGTAGTTATGAGAGGGGGTTTAAAAGACTGGCTAGATTTAGACAGCTGAATTTTTGATGTTCAAAGTTAGGCAGGAGGAATCCTGCCATGAGTACCTGGTGCATGACTTTAAGGAACAACTTAGTCTACACAGCAGCATCTTTGGAGGTGATGGCATGGTGCTAGAATAAATTGCTGTAATACTGAAACAGACTTTCACAAAGCTTATTAAATGTTTCTTATTAAATCTGCAGAGGCCCAGACAAGTTGCCTATTGATAGGACTAGTGGACTCTCCCTGCCCTTTTACTGGCATCTATCCCATTTCTGTCAGGTTAGATCTTGACTCATTCATGTAAGAGTACAGAATCAGAGCAGAGCCTGGGAGAAGAGTGCATCTCATTCTCCTGCTATCACACGCAGTCAGAGAGGGATGAGGGGAATGGCATCTGTGCACTGCAGAGCACCTTGCATCTCTTCTTCCGCCCCGCAGAGCTCGTGAGCAGGAGAGCACCTGCACCAAGCAGTCATGCTCAGGCATTAGCTGCCCATACACGTGCTTAATTGTGCTAATGCTGCTCCCCTGGAATAACTCTCTGAGATGAAGAGACCTGGCTTTGGATGATACATATGCTTTTATTAGTATCTTCTTAGATATGAAGTAAGAAAAAAAATGTTCATACTTACAGTCAAGTTAGATTTGTAAAGGTTTGTCTTTTAACATAAACTAGTAATCTAGAGATATGAAGCAAACAATTGGAAAGCATCTTTTTAATCTTAAACTGTTTTTTCTCAAGTGGCTAAATAAAACCTGCCACTCTTTGTGCTTCTGGTAGCATAGAGTAGCTCAGCAAGAGTCCAGGCTGTACTAGTCATTTTCAGGGTAGAAATCTGTCTTGAGTAGGGATTTTTAGTATTAGGTTCACAACAGAAATGCATTACGAGCTGCTGCTGAAGTGTTATAATAATGCCAGCTTATATGGCTTTGTTTATACATGGACTACATGTCCTCTGTTTAGGTAAGTGCTGTTTATCTTCAAGCAAGTTAGAGATAATCAAATGGCTACAGGCCTTGCACAGCTGTTGTATTTCATAAAGGAAGAAGGTTTTTTCTTTAAATCTTTATCAACAAATAATAAATGGACCAATGGTAATTCTACCACATGAGTTTAGGTGGTTAGTAAAGGACAAAGGATTTTCTGTGTACAGCTTAATAGCAATACTAACAAAACCAACTTTCTTCATACATAGGTGGAAAAACTCCTAAGAGCAGTTGCTGATGGAGATCTGGAAATGGTAAGTCTTAGCGTGGCTGTTGAGTATTATTGAATTCCAATTTACCTCATTTGAATTGAGGAAGTTATTTTTTAAATACTAAGTGAAGAATGCTTTGGATAATTCCTTCCTTCAGCAACAATTAATAAAATTCAGCTTATTTTCTACAAAGAATATTCACTCCATAATTTATCAACTGATAGAGAGGGAAAAAAACTTCATTAAAGTCAATATCGTTATTCTAGTTTACAATGTAACTTAATCTTAGTAGTTATTTTCAGGTCAGCCCTTAAGTAATTTCAAGAAGCAGCAATACATACAATGGTGATATTTCCCATCTTCCTGGCAAGTAGTAGACATGAATGTATTACAGTTAGCTTTTCTCAGACTTTATGAAAATCTAAACTGCATCATGAAGGTGTATAAAGAAAGTGAAAGATAGTGCTATAATTTGCCGGAAAATTAGTGTATAGCACTGCTGAACAGAAAACAGCAAAAAAAACCAACAGTCAGAAATCTAATATTTGCATTCAGATAACAAAATCACCTTGTTTTTGTGGCTTTACTTTCCACATTATGCAAGTTCAAGTAGAACTGTTAATTTTAAAGAGAATTATCCAATTGTATGGCAAAGGTTACAGTTTGCATATCTATTAAAAACCCAGTTATTTAAAAAGTCTTATCTTGTTCTGACAGCCTGAGGTCTGTCTCCATAGGAACAGATGCAACAGTAGGGTCACTGGTTCTGTCGTTGATTTCTGCTCTAACAGCCAATTGAGCTTTACAAGAGGATCCATTAAAAAAAGATGCTACTAATTGGAAGATTAAAATAATTAAATTATTCTGTGATTGATCAGGAAGCCACAAAACATCCTTTATCATCATTGTAGCACCTGCAGACTTCAAAAACAAGTGTGCTTTAGGTTGGAGATAATTATGTTAATCAATGACAGGTAATTTAATTAGCTGCCTCAAAGGCAAAGTACTGTACATTTGAAAAATAAAATTTAGTCTGTTGTGGTAAATTTTCTATGTCTGTAGTGAGAAATACTTTGAGAGAGTGTGGAGGGAATATCTTTATAGAAAGGATTAAGCTTTATTTGTCAACAGAAGCTTAGGAGTTTTCAATTTGGCCTGTGGGCAGCTGATGCCAGGAGGTAGTTGTCCTGAGATAGGCACAAGGGTATGTTTGTAAAATCTTTTTTACATGTGCAAATTTACTGTGATGTGGAACCTTTGGACTCCATAAAAGAGGACTTGCTTTTTATGGCAGGTACGTTATCTCTTGGAATGGACTGAAGATGATGTAGAAGATGAGGATGACACAGTCAGTACTTCAAAACCAGAATTCTGCCACCCATTATGCCAGTGCTCAAAATGTGGGCCAGCACAGAAGGTTAGAATGTTCATTCTGTAAAAAGAATAATTTATATTCTTGTAATGTAACTTCTGGCTCTAGGGAATTAGCATTCATATTGCCCAACACCTTTGCATCTCTGTCTAAAAAGCAATTAAATTCATACAGATCTTAACAGGGTTCATCTGATGTATTAAAATTATTCTCTTAAATAATTGAACTGTTGAAAATTTTGGATACATGAGCAGTATTCAAAGACTTGCTTATTATCTAATGGAGTGAAAAAACTCAGTAGTTCGCTTTTAGAGTATGTGGACTGCAGTCAGCAAGGTTTGTACAACTTTGAATAAATGGGAAAATATTTTTCTAAGCCCATTTCTCGTGGTTCTCTTTTATAGGTTACATTGCTAACTGCCACAAGAGTATCTACTCATCTGTTAGTAATCAGTTTATCAAGGAATACCTGCTAATTCTATAATCAATGTAATCCTGTTAAAGTCTTTTTTTTCAATTGCATGACATCTTTCATATAAGCTGTATCTGAAACCTCTTTAGAGAATAAATATAATTGTAAAGATTTTCCCCTTATTTATCACAGACGGTAGAAAAGAATCAGGGTTTACAATACACTTTAAAAAAAAAAAAAAAAAGTTTAAATAAGGAATGATCCCAGCTTCTTGGAAATAGAAAACCAAATTACTTGCCTTTAAGGAAGAAAAATGTATTACTCTGCCAGAAGGTGTATGTGCCTGGATAAGTCTCTGCAAAATAAACCGAAGTATCAATGTTCAGTGTACTGGCTACTTTCAGGTAACAGTATCCATATCACTTGACTGAGAAAATGTGAAGTGACTTAACTTCTAAATTTCTTGCTGCTGCTCTGCTTATTTTGTACAGGCTAAGAGTATGCTAGTTGTCCTTAAATGCTTCACATTCACATCATGCTTTATTCTCTGTTAACATCCGTGTAGCCTGAGTACAGAGATTATGTGCTAAAGATGCCAGAGCCTGACACTGTAAAGTTTATTTTATTGACATTTACTGTGGAATACTTGCCTCCTGAATGAAAAGTAGAAGGAACTTGTTAATTAATCTTAACCACTGTAGTAGGTAGGCACACATTTTAAAAGCACACTGAGGATAGGCAGAAGGAAAGATTGCCACTGTAAATGTTAGGCACCTACAGTTTGCAAGAGCAATGAAAAAGGATGTTCTGTACTGCTGTTGTCAGCTGTCTTCCAGGTAGTTTCCTTATCTTCACTCCCCATGGGAGTCTGTTCTCTGTGCCAGTGTTACTTCCACATGAATAAAATTAATTTTAGTTTTTATCCATATTACCTTGAGCTTCATATAGCAGTAAAATGGGTGCACACAAGAGCATAAATGTCTTTATAAATGGAAGTAACTCCTAGTAAGTATTAACACTTAGTCTCCATATGTATCAGCATCCTAAAAGCTAGATAAAAACTGTCAGTTTTACATCTGTCTCAACCTGTGCTGCTTTAGCCTCTTTTGAATATTATGTATATTTTGCCTGGAATTCTCTATATGAAACTATCATGTTGGAAGAAAAGAGAAAAATAAAACTCATTGTTCTGTTAAAAAATACTGCTAAGCTGCTCTGGTTTACTAACTTTTCCTGAAGGTCTCAAATTAGACTCTGTAGCAGAAGTTCTTGTAATGTCCATCTACCTGTTTTTACATATTTAGCAGGCATTTGGCTGCCTTTTGGTCAACAGAAAGTAGCATGATTAATTAGATAGCTTTGTTGTGTGTTTTTCTGAACAGAAATTTGCAAGGGTCTCTGCTACTGGACTTGGAGTAAATGTTTCAAATCAAGATGGTTTTACACCATTGCATATGGCTGCACTGCATGGACACTCTGAACTTGTCTCTCTCTTGTTGAAACATGGAGCCAGTATCAGTGCCAAGGATGCTAAACATGCAGTTCCTCTTCATCTAGCTTGCCAGAAAGGTCACTTCCAGGTAACCGAGCCTCTTTGTAAATGGAAGCTTTTTAACACTTAGCCACCAACAAAAAGTCTTTTTGTGATACTGTGAAAAATTATAAAAAATTATCAACAACACTAAACCAGAATTAGTGAAAACTAGTTTGTTGTTGTGCTTTTTCTGTCCATGTCTGAAATCTCCAGACAAAAAGGAAAGGGATCTTTCAACTGAAGCAGTTTCAGTAGACACTTTTTCTAAATGACCTGAAATACTGCTTTAGTTAAAGTGCTGTACCTGCTGCTGTACACCAAACACTTGAAAAACACCTCGTGCAGCTGAATCTTCCCATGTATTTTCTGTGTCCCTTCTGTTGAAAGAGCTTATGTGTGCATCTGTTGATGCAATGGATTTGGTATCTTCAATAGTTGCAGTATTAAATATTTATTGTACCTTCAACTCATTCAAGTAGATTGGGAGCCCAGTAAAGCTCTGAGGGTAGGAAAAAAACCTCATCCCTGACTTAAAGTCAAGGAAGCATAAGCAGTAAATGAGAAGCATGAGCTAGTGAGGGGAAGATATTAATACAGGAGGAAGAGTAAATGAGAGGGGAATAATAATAATGAAAAAGCAGGTGCAGACAGGCAAATGGGAATATGCAGAAAAGTAAAAAACTTGGGTTTTAAAAATAAGGAGCTCAGGACTGCAAGGGAAAAAAAAAAATCAGAGAATTGTGAACATGGTGGGGAAGCACCAGGGGAGCAAGAAGAAAACGGGACTACAACTCAAACTTGTAGGTTAATGAATAAAGACCTCTCTCCAAATGTCGGGATGAGTTTGGAAAGGGGGAAAGGATACTGTCGCTGTGGTGCTTTGGTTTTGGTACTTTGAGTTACTCGTTATGTATGTTTTTCATATACCTCAGACTTTATTTCCTGGTCTTTCAGTTACTTAAGGTGTCTGGTCTTGTTTTTATTTTGAAGTGTGTGGGAGAACATGAAAATAACTATGATAGGAAGAGATGCTTGTGGTTATCATTTGTTAGGCAAAGATGAGACTTGTTTTCTCAATTTTTAATTCACTCTTTTTTACATTCTAGATTAAAAAAAGGGTTTTTCTAAAAAAGGGGGAGGAGGCTTTCACTACATGGTTATGGTTAGCTGGTATCTTAAAGAGTTGTTACTACTTTCAATAGGTGGTGAAGTGTCTGATGGATTATGATGCTAAACAAAATAAAAAGGATATCTATGGAAATACTCCTTTAATCTATGCATGCTTAAATGGTCAGTATGAGACTACTGCCTTATTATTACAGGTAAGATCACTGATAACAGAATCTTCAAAATGGTAATTCTTACATGATAGCTGTCCTTATCCAGCACTCAGGATCAGTATTTTTAGTTATGCTTTTCTCTGTCAAAACTACCTGGGGCGGTGGGGGTGTGTGAATTAGAGTATTTGTTATCTCACTCCTTTCAATCCCTTCATGTTTTTTATCACATAAATACTACTTTACTGTTGCACAGCTAGCTGTTTTGATGGAACTCTTTTGTGACAGGTGATAGGGTTTGATTCTATCCTATAGGGGTTTTTGTGTTTTGTTCTTTTTTAATTTTAATATTTCCTAAACTTGGAATGTGTAGTAGATGAAAAAAAATTTAAGCTGATCCTTACATGATATCTGTCCTTATCCAGCACTCAGGATCAGTATTTTTAGTTATGCTTTTCTCTGTCAAAACTACCTGGGGCGGTGGGGGTGTGTGAATTAGAGTATTTGTTATCTCACTCCTTTCAATCCCTTCATGTTTTTTATCACATAAATACTACTTTACTGTTGCACAGCTAGCTGTTTTGATGGAACTCTTTTGTGACAGGTGATAGGGTTTGATTCTATCCTATAGGGGTTTTTGTGTTTTGTTCTTTTTTAATTTTAATATTTCCTAAACTTGGAATGTGTAGTAGATGAAAAAAAATTAAATGAGCTGATCCATGATGTGGCTATGAGAGAGGAGGAAGTAACATGACCAGGTAGCTGATTGTTGAACTGGTGATTGCTAGCATATGCTTTATGCCTTCGTATGCAGCTACAAGGCTTCTGTTGCATTGTTCCTATTCATACACTGAAAATAAATGGGTAGAAAAACAGGATAGTGATGTGCTGTCTCCATCTTGTGCTTCTCTGTATTTATAACTGCAATTGTACCTTGCTGTCCAGCATGGAGCTTCTGTTAACCTTTCTAATGCCAAAGGAAACACAGCCCTGCACGAGGCTGTGATAGGAAAGAATGAAGCCCTGGTAGACTTGTTGCTTCAGAATGGTGCAATGACCCACATACGGAATGAGAGGAACTGCACCCCTGCAGACTGTGCTGAGCCGGTGAGTGCAGAAAGCTCCTTTCTAAGGTTAGATTTTTCCTAAAGTTTCACATGCATGATGTAGGAAAGAAAACAAAATATAACTTTGTCACGACAATATCTGCCAAGACTTGTGTATTTAACAATTCTGCATGATGTGTAGACTCAGATGCCTGTTTATTGTACCATGTACAATCTATCTGTGATTTATGAAACCTGTTGTGTTTTTAAGTTAACCTAGGCAAAAAGGATGAGTCTAGAAAGAGTCAAAGCACATACATGAATGAAAATGACATTAAAATCTATGCTATTAATGGCAGAGAGAGCAGAAGAAATGTTGAATATAGGAAAATGAACAACTTTCAGTAATCAGTTACACTGCTAGCAGTCTTCCTTGTTTCACCCAGCATCTTTTGCCCTTCATGCCTTCCAATACCTTTTATCTTGTCATTGGTAATTTTGACCTTCCCCTTTATGAACAGCAATACCATAATATGTAATACTAAATTATAAAGAATTATTACCCTCTTTAAATTAATTTGATGCATGGTCCTTATCTTAATGTGCTTAAATAACTTCTGAGATGTAGCATAATGACCACAATATTCTGTACTGAATCAGTTTTACTGTGTGAATTACCATTTAAACTGAAATTACCTTAACCATAAATAATACAGTTTCAAATAATAGGTCAAGACTACAAAATTATCACTCTGGTACAGTGTAACTTGTGAAACACTGGTTTTGTCCCTTCTTAAGATGATACAATTTAAACTTTGCATTTATAATGAGGGGTTTTGGTGTGCATTACTTTCATTTTGGCAGCACTTAACACGCTCTGCATAGGCTAAAATCCTAAATTGTACTGATGTTTTTCTTTTTCTCTAATAATGATGAAAATGGAAACGTTTAAAATTAAGAATTCAAATATCATTAAGTTGCTGGAAACAGCACCAAGCTATGTACCTACAGCAGCAGAGACAGAAAAGGAGTGTGAGCAGCATGCTACTATCAAGATAAGAAAAAAAGGTACATGTCATATTTCAACTGGTATGAATAAAAAGAAATCTAGGAATCCATGTGTGACTACATAAAATATTATATAATTGATTTACATATAATTAAAAAACAGACAACAATTTTGCATATTTATAGCAGGTAACACTTAAAATACTGTAACTAAATGCAGCAGACTTTGCAGCAATATCAAGGCTGTAATATAAACTCAAACTCAGTTTTCACTTTTTTGGTGCATGGGGGGAATTTTATGTATGAAAGCATTTAAAGTTAAAAACATGCCACATTTGGAATTGTGTAATTAATCATGTAAGAATAATTGTCCATTTCAGTGTAAAGTAATGGTTTAATTTAAATCGCCTGTAGTTGTCATTGCCCTAAAACCAGGTTAGGGAGTGACCCTTCCATTAAATACTGTTTCTCATATTATGGGACAGAAATTGGAGTTGCAAAGGTAACTGTCTAAACCACTAAGCAATGCTGGCAGAAGAATGTCTTTCAGTAAGTGGCAGCATGCAGTACAGTCTGAGCAAATATTCTGAGACACATGGTAGTTTGACAATACAGCTGAGCTGATGTAATGACTTATTGCCACTTGAAAGACATGATGTTACCATCAATCCTCACCTATTCCCTCTCACCCTCAGCTTCTGGTCTTGCTTATCCACTACTTGCCTTATGCTGGCTCAGGAGTTTTTGATACAGTTCACTAACCTGGGGCAGGAAGTGCAAGAAGTTTTGTGGTGAGCTAGACACAGTAAAGGACCTGCTGCCACCAGGACTGTGGAAGAAAGACAGGCTCCATGAGAAGGAATTGGGGTAGATGAGGAGCAGAAATGCCCATTTCAGCATCCATGAGTTTTAGTTAGGCTTTTCAAAATAACTCTTGCCTGCTTCCCTAGGAAAGATTGTGATTGTGTCATTAGTACAAAACTGAAATTAATCAGAGTGTGCTGATGCCAAAGATTGATAGAGTCCTACCAGATATATTGAGAATAGTTCTAAAAGAATAACAGAAGACATGAGTAGGTAATATTGATGAAGAGGTGGTATGAAATCCATGTGTTAATTCAGGTTGTAAAAATTGGAATTAGGGGCCTTCAAGTCCAGAATTACATGGCCTCTTTAGAAGCTTGGCCAGTTGTGTTGCTTCGGTGAAGATGCTTACTCCTCTGACTTAAAATGCTTTAAAGTTTACAAAGATAAATTGCCATTCTGATTCAAGTTATTACTATTATAGTATAAAATGTTAACTCTCATGTCAATAGATACCACTTTTCATTCAGAACTGGTATTTTTTTAATTCTTAAGTGTGGCTCAGTTTTAATTTTAGCTGCCTGTTTTTTTAAACCCCTAGTGAACTCTAAGCCTTGTGAGAAAACTGATGATCCCATAAGCAGACAACTTCAGCTGGTCCAGTCAATTAACAGATTTAACAAGTAAGCCTAGAAGCTTCCTCAGAAGTATGTTGTTTCCCATAAGCAAACAAGAAATGTAACTGTTAATAAAGCCCAGAAGTAGGTCAGCATTGTTACACAGCACATATGACTGATCTGACAGTAGATGCTGATCCCCCGAGGCAGGCTCATCTGCATCACCAGACAGATGTTCTAGGCATGACCTACTCATTGGTGGTGAACAGCAGTGATGTGCTGTGCAGCAGGAGGGAGAGGCTGGCTGCTGAAGGACTACTTGCAAATGCTTTAAAAATTGTTTTTGCACTAATAATTGGTGTGCCATAAATTAAGACTTTTCAGAGCCAGACTGCTTTAAAAATACGACCTTAGTGCTTTACTCAACTGTTGGGGTTTGCCTATGATAATTTAAAGCATTAATGTACATTTGTGACAGAATACAGGAAATGCTAGCCAGGCCGTTATTTTGTCAGAGAATACTTTCTGTGTTGAGATAATGCCACCTTGTGGATTTTCTGTGATCAGACTTTTGTGCACAGGCTGACATAGTTTAATTTCTTTAAAATGTTTTAGATCAAAACATTTACGGAGAACAATAACGAGAGATAAAAGTGTTCCTAATTTTGACTATCAGTTATTGCATCAGGTAAGTGAAAATACTTGTTTGAATTATTTGTATAATACAGCAAATCTGGTTGTCTTGGCTGCTACTAACAGCTACATATAGCAGAAAAGTTTTTACTAGTTGTGGTCGGTGAATCCTGAAAGTTCTGACCTGTTTTCTGTGTTATGTCTAGCAAAGTCAAGATTATACCAAGGCTTGAAAAGCTCCTGTAGCTCCATCAGAGTTGCAGCCAAGCAGGGAGGCTATTCACAAGAGTGAAATTTTCAAAACTGGTGTTTGTGTGATAAGTCTGCTTGTAGGATGAGATTGTTTGCAAGGGTGATAGTGAATTGGAAGTTGCATTGTCAGCTGTGACACAAATTCATGTCATCAGATCATCTGTGGTTGTGGGTATCATGGGACCCCACACCAATGTGACTGTTGGATGCTGCTCTCCACCCAGAGCTTGTGCTCCCTATTCCTTCTTTACACATGACCTTCTGCTGAGCCATTTCAGGATACTGGACACAGAGAACAACTAACCTGTTCAAAATAAAACATTTTCCTACTAGGTTAGTTCAGTATTTATTAGATTGATGTAGCCTTGAAAATGTAAACTGTGCAGGGAGTTTTTGCCTTGGTCTTCAGCAGTGTCTGTTTGAGCCTGCCTGTATTATTACACATTTCTAAATCATGGAAGAAACGGCTGTTAATTTCAGGTACCTGGAGACTTGCATTGCAGAAGGTGCTTAGAAGTGTTAGGATGACACTGGGAAATTGCAGTGAGAACAAGTTTTGGGATGCCTTAATTTTTTCAGTTCTGATACTGGTTTATGTGTAGCCTGGAGCAGGTTGGCCTTGTTTTTTCTCATACGTAGACCAAGTACAGTTACTGCCCTACAAAATATGCTATTTTTAATCTTAGGCTTTGTTCTCAATATAAAGAATACCACTAAATGTGATAACTACATTCAAGAAACACTATATTAAATTTACTTCTTTGTAATGAAGAAACTAGACAATGCTTTTCATGTACCATTTTTCTATCCTTACAGTTAGCTATTAAAGGCTTTGATAAAACCAAATTAAAATCTGTTGAAAACCTGGACCAGAGCAAAGTTAAGATGACTGACACGGGATGCAGTGGTGAGTTTGTGAAACATGACAACATGACAGAAGCTCCTCACAGGAGTAAATTAATGCACCGAAGACACAGTGTAAACGTGCCACTTTCAGTAGAGAATGTCAGTGATAACAGTTTAACCAGCCCTACAAATCCAAGTATTTCACCATCAAGAGACTGCTGTGATGAGTCACTTTCAAAACATTGACAAGAAAGCACGAATTTGATGTCCAAAGCTGAGGAACTAGGTGGTGTTAAATTCAATAACCCTTCACTGTGTATCAAAGAATTCAGTGATGCTTGCAAGCCTGCCTTCAGAACAGAATGCAAGGATGGATGCCTCTTCAGCAGAAACAGAATGTTCCTAGTACTGACCGAAACATGTTTATGTTGGAGGTAACTACACAGGCAGATCATTACTAATCTTGACAAACAGGGGTGTACTGAGATGTAGACAGCAGAATTACTTTCCTGTTCTACTTAGCACTTATTAAAAAAATTATATGTAACAGTAAACTAAACTAAATCCTTTATTGTATTTTTCAGCCACCCACTTTGTTTTTAAAAGTCTTTGAATAATTGTTGCATTTTCAGTTTTTATCACTACATTGGAGAAGTATATATAAATGTGTATATTTATATATATAAAGATATATTGAGTAAGAAGGTATTTATTGCCAGAGGGAATTGAGATGTCTCTATTTTTATTGTAACATTACAAACCACTATAGTGTATATTTCAGTAGCTGGGAAAACAATAGTCTGTAATTTCAGTGACGCCACATTAGCAATTTATAAAAGCTATTAATGTGAAGGAATGTAATCCTTGCTAATGTCTTTGCAATGCTCCCCTGTATTGGATCTGCAAGATCACATTCTTGTACAGGAGCCAAGATGCTGGGAAAAAGTAGTGAGTCCTTAACAAAGCTAAGAATTGGACTCACTTTTCACAGCCCAATTAAAAAAAATATATGCAGAAGCAAGCAGGTATGTACACACACAATTGGTTTAGGTTGGGTTGTTGGTTTTTCTTTCTCTAAAGCAAGTCATGCAAAAATGTTCATGATTCTGAACCTGGGCAGCATCTGCCAACAAAACTGCTGCTTAGGAGCCTGCTCTGGACTGCTCTTCAAAAAGGTTGATTTCCAATTATGAAGGGTACTTCTCAGATAAGTAACCATTTGCTGGAAATATTACTCTGTACCTACAGGTGATTACTGAAGAACTGAAAGCTCCCAAGTAATTATGAGATGGCTGCTTAGATTTGGACTTCATTTTCTACTCTTTCAGTGGTGGCAGGAGAATGTGTGAATAGCACAAACCAGGTTTCTAAGTACAGTATTTTTTTATTCTTGGCTCATCACATCCAGCTTGCATTTTTTTCATAAACTATTTGTATGAATAATTATTTTTCTTTTAGCTGTGGTATTAGTAAACTGCCTGGCAAAGTATGAAGCTGGAAGAAATGCTGGTGATTTTTTCAATTAACTTTTTAATTTACATAGTAAAATGTGCAACAAGTGCACATATGGACATTTGCAGAGGAGGATCATGTGTTTATTTTTCTAGTAATTTATGAATTAATCCAATTTTCTAATGTGCCTTGAATTTGTGCCAAACTATGGAAAGAACTAGTAAAGTAACTCTTGAAAACACTGTTTGCTTTGAGTGCTTTTTTCAAAGCATTGAGTCTTTTACACTGATTTCTTTGCTTTTAATTTTGTAGGCATTTGAAGGCTTCACTGTGTGTTTGCTCTGAAGTTCAATGACCACCTTCCCTCCCACATTCATGGATTACTATTGCTAGGTTGTGTGGTTTTGGATTTGGGCCAGAGAGATGTACAATACAGAACTGTTAGTGAAACCAAACATTTTAATGTAACTTCCTTCTCTAGCTCTACAGTCCTTTAAAAAAATATAGTAGGATGGATGTTCTGTTAGAAGCCAAAAGACTAAGAGGAAAGAGATAGGAACTAGCTTTTTAATTGTGACACTATAAAGATGATCTAGCATAGGTCACTTAACCTGTAGCTAAAATAACCTAGATAAACTTTGTAAGTAATAAGATACAAGTAAACTTTCATAGATCTGATTTATAAACTACATAGTGAGAATTTTGCTTCTGTTTTAATTATAATATGCATTTAGTTAAACAATTCTTAAGACTTCTTGACAATATGGATGAGAAAAAAAAGTCAGATTTTTAATAGTGGTGATACAGTGCTACAGAATATAGTGCTGTCACTGCAGCATGTGAGTTAGCACAATTACACTAATTTCGGTATCAAGTTGTTTTTTTTTTCTTAGTCCTTAATTATAAGCATAGTGTGGTTCAATAGCTTTGGACACAAGTTTTAAACCATAATGGGAAATTTTTAAAAATATTTATTGCCACACTTTGGCTTGAAACTCTTCACACTGGCAAAGAAGTTGTAAAGATGTTTAGTAATACTAAATATACTAAATAAAAAAAGTGGGTATATGCTAAACTTAAGGAATGCCAGTCATGCACAGACAAGCAAAAGGCCCAGTCTAGTTCAAATAAAACAAAAAGAATGGTTTAAATCACATTTACAGATGAAAAACACTCACTAGTGCTCACTTTAAACAATTTTATTGTGTTCCAAAAAGACTGCAGTTGGGATCATACATGTTCTTAAATTATGTCAGAAAAGGGTTTTGTGGTGGTAGAGTGTTTATCAGCACGTTACAGTATTTATCCTACTTATTTCCATAACCATATTTTTGAATAAACATATAGCACACTTTCAGTTTTACATGCAGGAGCTGCGGAAAGGTTAGGAAAAAGGTCTCAAGGTAAGAAACACTCCAGCCATTTGATAAAAATGGAGGTAGTTTTAAGAATATATGATACCAAGTGTCTGAACAGTGCTGTATTACACAGTTAACTTGCTTTTTATGAGATAGCTCGATCATTTCATAGGGAAACAGTTCAGTTGTGTGCTGCTTACAGTTTCTTTACACAGATTGCCTGATGTGAATCCAAACACTCCTTTGATACCTGCACTTGATAAATTTGCAGCAAAGACTTGAAAGCCAGTGAGCTGCTGGATAGGCTTCTTTCAGGGCCTCAGGAAATCTCGTTTCTAACACTTCTGTGATTTAGAGTCAGGAGGTAAGTCATTAAACTCTTAGAGGGGAGTGGGTGTTCCCAGCTTTATACTCCTAGCTTCTCCTCATGGTGTCTCCAATAGCAGCAAGTTAAGTGTGTGCAGTTGCTGAAAGTGTAGCTTTTACACACTGAGTAAGGGGCAACAAAATGGTCATGCTAATGAAGCAGTGGGGAAGCCCACACTGTTTCGGCCTCTTTTAATACTAAAATTTAAGTTAAAAAATCCCCTTCTCAGACTTATTTTACAAGTTCATTTGTTGGCCTTTTTATATATAAAAAAAGAAGCGTAAACATTTTCGGATTTTGCATTCTGCCTGCTAACAGTATGTTGCCTTTTTCCAGGCCTTTTGCCTGGCAGACAGTCTTACAGTAGTATTAATAATCATCCTCTTCATCAGAATCCAGTACTTTCCTTCTGTTGAACTAAAATGAAATAGAAGGATCACAGTAAATTCAACACAAAGCAAGCCTTTTAAACTCTATGCATTTGACAACTACTATATTACATGGGAGCAGAACGTTCACCCCATCACAACCCCCCCTCTGCTCCCCAGTCCCCCCTCTTGGTTAATGGTACGGGACTGTGTATCTCACCAGAGAACACTGTGCCAATATCTGCAGATTACACTACTGATAAGGACGGCTATGACTTAATCCCAGTATTTGACAGCATATAGGTAAAAGAGGTGGTAAATACAAAGTTAAGTTCTACCCTGAACTGAAATGGCCCAATACATGCCATTTTTCTGCTCTATTTTATTAAAAATTGCATTTAGGAAATGAAGCTTACTTTTACTGTTGTTTTCTTTTCTGTTTGCTGACTGACTTTTTCAAGTATTTCTATCAAACCTTGTTCTGACACCTAGGAAAGCAAAAGAAAAGCCATATAAACACATTCCAAGAGATGTTTAGTATCATACAACTGAATCACACTTTTCTGTCTTATAAAAGGTGTGTGATGAAACTATGTAATAGTATTTAGAAGTTCTCAATTGCCTTTTTCAGTTACTTAATTTACAGATACTAAAAATATCCCCCCCTTTTTTTTTTTATAGAATGAATTAGGTTTGAAAATGAATGTATATGAAAGAGAATTAGAAAAACATAACTCACCTTTCCAGGTAGCTGTCCAAATCTTGCCATCTGTATAAGATAATTCTCTACTGCTTTTGCTTTGTCTGGTTTCACAAGTGCTAAATTGCTTACTGCAAGAAAAAAAGGCTCTGTTCACTTTGTTTTAAAACATACTCAAGTATCTTCACTAGTGACTAAAAACTAACATCCCTACAAAACGATCTTCTTGATGCCAGGATCATGAAATAAATTGAAAAAGGCATTTTTATTCCTATAAAATAATGATAGAAAATAGTTGTGTTTCTTTTAAATATTTGTTTCTCTCACTACAATTCCTACTATTTAAAAAAACAAAACAAAACCCATCATTCAGAAGTCAGCCAACCCTCTGCTCCAATCACTGATATTACCAGCTGAAAAGCTGTAATATTTTTATCTTCCCATCAACAACATTTTTCTAGTCTGGCCCCTATGCAAGCACTTGCTTGATTTGAGCAGCACTGGAGTGACACTAGGTGATAGTATTTTATTAGGAAGTAATCTGGATACTTACATCTTGCACGAGCTGCTTGATCAAGAACTTGAGCTAAAATAGTATTTCTTATCTCTGCTTCCCTGTAATGAAAAGTTAACCAGACATTAAAAGTGGGGTTTCAAACACCAAAAATGCTATGCACAAAACAGCAAACTGCAGAAGACTTTCAGTTCATGGGACTTCTTGAGGTCTCTTCAAACCTTACATGTTTTTTTTATAGTGTGTTCTGTCATGAGTACCTTTATGTACGTTGACATCTTTGAAGACATCAACATGGAATAGGTGACTTACACCTTATTATACTTAAAATTTGACTAAGTAGTTGCAAGATTGGAATGTTTATGCATTTAAGTTAATACAAACTTTGTGTGCAAAGTCTAATTCTTTATACATTTATTTTCAATTTTCTACCTAGTGCAAATACTAAACACTGTTTCTGCACTAAGTTCTGACATGAATAATTTTGTTTCATATTTTTAATTGCCATAGATATCCCAGAAAAATAAAATAAACCAGAAAGGCATGTTCCCATTGCACTAACAGAGCCAAACCCAAACTCATCACTCAAACAAAACTCCAGTTTGGGAAGAGCTAGCCTTCAAGATTTTGTCAAGACCAACTCTCACCAACCTTGGAAAGCAAAGGTTTCTGAGTTCTAGAAGCAGAAGACAGTGGGAAGGAGGATGCTTCTCAAAAACATCCTATTGTATCACTAAGGGCCATGAGGTTATATGCACTCAGTTGAGTCCCAGAGTAAAAATGAGCTGTTTTCCTCCACTCTGTTCCTGCCCAATTGGAGTTCAGCCTGTCTGGCAGCTCTGTTGTAGATCATAGAGTCATGGCCTGAGAGCAACACTTGGATCAATTAGATTTTACCTTTCCTTGAATGAAATCTTTTGATGCTTTGGCTTTGTTGGTAGTGGTTTTTCCAACAATTAAAAAAAAATATATCAAGTGGATATTCCAAAGAAATTAAATACAAAAAACGACTGAAAATTGACAAAAATTTGGTAGTTCTTATTCATACCTCTGTTTTGCTTCCTGTTGCGATGGATCACCAGAAGGATCCTAAAGAATTAAGATGCAGAATAAATTTGATCATCCAAAACCACTCCACACAGAACAGTAGATTTAAATATTCCAGCACAGTCAATGTAAGCTAAACCTGCCTGACCATGGACAAGATCCTGAAAATGAGAATCTGCTGCCCTCACAAATAGATATGCCATACTCTGCTCTCCTCACAAAGCAATAATGCAAACTGGTGTGATGAGCAGTGCTACTGGATCTATCCACAGATTGCTGTAGGTCTGGACATTGAAAGGTCTTCCCACTAGATCTAAGACAATACATTTTCCCAAAGCCCAGAAAACAGACAAAAGCATTTCAAACCCATTAGAAGTATGCTAATGGCACATGAAATTAAATGCAACACTTTTTATGTATCAACACGGAAAACCCACAATCCTAGCATGGTATTTTGGAACTAATATAGGCAGCTGAGGTGACTATTCAGAAAAAAATAATGGGGGGCAAAAAGGAGAAAACAGAACTTTTACGTTGAATTTGCACCCCAAATTTTATAGGTAACATTTCAAAGCGTGAAAGCAGAAGAGGAAACAAGGCAGAGAGGAAAGGCAGCCGATCACAGGAAGATCCCTTCACAGAACAGCGACGGAGACCGACAAACTCCTACTCTGAGAACAGAGCTGACTGGAAAGACCGATGGCAGGGATCCGCAGGATTGTGAGTGGCAGGGAAAAAGGTCGGGGGAGAAAACGAATACGTGATGAGGCCTCCCTGCCAGGAGGCCCTGCCGCCGCCCCGCTCCTGCCGCGGGCCTGCTCAGGTGTGATTGTGGCTCCCCAGCCGCGTT